GCATAACTTTTTACACTTACATAGCTACGTGTATGTGTAAGTAGAACAAGAAATATAGGCACACTTTTCAGATACACCAAATTAACAAGCACTATGATCGCATGCTTTATACTCACTTTTGATTCCACATCTTCACACCCCTGTGTCTGTGTCCATGTACCTCAAATGTATGTATATATGCATTTATGCATGCATGAATGTATGTGCACATATTTGTACGCATACACACACATATATATATATATATAAATATATATATATATATATGTGTGTGTGTGTGTATCGCATATCTGCATGTGTGTGTGCATGTATGTACGTATATACCTACTCGTATATTGTAGCACGTGCAACGCATTCGTCCAGGGCAATCTATACCAGATGGGTGAAGCTCCTTCCCGTGCGCACACATTCAAGTACAGTAAAGTGGTCAACAGCTGCAATCCCCAGTGGAACGATGACTTCGCCTTCAGCATTCCCCAGAACTCATACGGCCTCATGCTTCATCTGGCAGTGTACCACCACAACGCCTACAAGGCCAAGAACGGTATGTGCTAGGGCTGACTGTGAATGTACAAGTGTACGTGTGTTGTATGGATGTATGTATATGTTGATGTGTGTTGTATGGATGTATGTATATGTTGATGTGCGTCGTATGGATGTATGTATATGTTTATGTGTGTTGTATGGATGCATGTGTATGTTGAAGTGTGTTGTATGGATGTATGTGTATGTTGATGTGTGTTGCATGGATGTATGTGCATATTTATGTGTATTGAATGGATTTATGTGTATGTTGATGTATGTTGTATGGGTGTATTTGTATATTTATGTGTGTTGTATGGATGTATGTGTCTGTTGATGTGTGTTGTATGGATGTATGTGTATGTTGATGTGAGTTGTATGGATGTACGTGTATATTTGTGTGTGTTGTATGGAAGTATGTGTATGTTGTGGTGTGTTGTATGGATATATGTGTATGTTGATGTGTGTTGTATGGATGTATGTTGATCTGTGTTGTATGGATGTATGTGTATGTTTTGTGTGTTGTATGGATGCATGTGTTTATTTATGTGTGTTGCATGGATGTATGTGTATGTTTATGTGTGTTTCATGGATGTATGTGTATATTTATGTGTGTTGTATGGATGTATGTGTATGTTGATGTGTGTTGTATGGATGTATGTGTATATTTGTGTGTGTTGTATGGAAGTATGTGTATGTTTATGTGTGTTGTATGGATGTATGTTTATGTGGGTGTGTATAATGTACTGCTGGATACTGTGGCCGGCGCAGACTGCCCAGTTTTATCTATACAATGTACAGTTGAACGTACCTACTATATGTCCATGTATATTTTAGTTTTATATATATATGTATATATATATATATATATATACATATATATATATATATATATGTGTGTGTGTGTGTGTGTGTGTGTGTGTGTGTATATATATATANATATATATATTAT